TGGCTCCGAGGTTCAGGACCCGCTGGTGTCCTACGAGTCCCCGTCCCCTCCGTGCTCGCCCATGCAAGGTGAGGACTGGCCATGGGGACGGTGCCACCCCCGAGGTGGCCGCTGTCACCCCCGAGGTGGCCGCTGTCACCTCGCCCGTCCCTTTGTCCCCTCAGAAAAGCTGGTGGTGGCCCTGTACAACTACGAGCCCAAGCACGACGGCGACCTGGGGCTGCGCAAGGGGGAGAAGCTGCGAGTGCTGGAGGAGTGAGGGAAAATTGGGGAGGGGCTCCGGGATGGCCGCGGCTTCGGGGGGTCTGGGGTCCCGGGGGAGTCTGGGCGGGGACCCGGGGGGCTCTGGGGTCCCGGGATCGCCGCGGCTTCGGGGGCTCTGGGGTCCCAGGGGACTCTGTGCGGGATTCCGGGATCTCCGCGGCTCTGGGGGGGTCTGTGAGGGGTCCCGGGGGTCTCTCCCCGCAGCTGTCGGGGGTCTCTCCGTGTGGAGTCCCGGGGGGCTTTGGGCGGGGTCTCGGGGGGCTCTGGGGTCCCGGGATCGCCGCGGCTCTCGGGGGTCAGTGCGGGGTTCCCGCAGTTCTTGGGGGTCTGGGGTCCCGGGGGACTCTGTGCGGGGTCCCGGGGGATCTCTGCGGGGTCCCGTCGGGATCTCATCGCGCCGTGTCCCGGGGATCCCTGCGGCTCCGGGGGGCTCTGGGAGGGGTCCCGGGGGTCTCTCTGTGCGAAGTCCTGGGATCCCCGCGGTTCCGGAGGGTCTGGGGTTCCGGGGTCCTCGCGGCTCTCAGGGGGCTCTGGGCGGAGTCCCGGGGTGCTCTGGGATTCCGGGATCCCCGTGGCTCTCGGAGGGGTCTGGGCGGGCTCCCGTGGGGGTCTCTGCGGGGTCCGGGGGAGCTCTGAGATTCCAGGATCCCGGCGGCTCCCGGGGGTCTCTCCGTGCCGGTTCCCGGGGTTCCGTGCGGGTTCCCGGGGTTCCGTGCGGGTTCCCGGTGTTCCGTGTCGGTTCCCGGGGTTCTCTCCGTGCCGGTTCCCGGGGTTCCGTGCCGGTTCCCGGGGTTCCCTGCGCTCTCCCGGTGGTCTCACCGCGCCGTGTCCCCCTCCCCACAGGAACGGCGAGTGGTGGAAGGCTCAGTCGCTCACCACGGGCCAGCAGGGGCTGATCCCGCACAATTTCGTGGCCGTGGCCAACAGCCTGGAGCCCGAGCCGTGAGTGGGGGTCGGGGAGGGGATCCCGGCGGGATCCGAGCTCCGGAAAATCCCAAAAAACCCCTAAATCCGAGCCCGCTGCCCGTCCCCAGGTGGTTTTTCAAGAACATCAGCCGCAAGGACGCGGAGCGGCAGCTGCTGGCGTCGGGAAACACGCACGGCTCCTTCCTCATCCGCGAGAGCGAGACCTCCAAAGGTGCGGCCCGAGGGTCCCCGCGGCTCCGGGGG